AAATTTGAAGATGATGATAATGATGATTTTCCTTTGTTCTGTAGGAATGCTGACAATTTCCGACTTTATTAACATTCTTCGCTATTATTATAAGTCACCACTGGTAAGGATTGATATGTTGAATTAGAAATTCTTGCTTAAACTTCAACAGAGCCTACAAATAAAGTCATTACATTCAGTGTTTTTACTAATTCTCTTATTTTCAGGTCCAAATTGACGAGTTGGAGGAACATGATATCCAAGCTTTTCGAGGTAGTGAGCAAAATAGTGATGTTAACATTTGTCTTATGAGATGACCAGGTACATGGTATATGTTTTCCCCAATTCTGCTGACAACCCCCTTTACTTGTTACAGGTACTGACTGTCAGAGGTATATATTGTTGTGGTCTGAATAATTTAATATTTTGTTTTTTCTTAGAATTTGAGCAATCCAATTTGAAAGCTGGCCTGGTTAAAATATCCCCAATGCAGAGGTAATTCTTTAGGAGTGAATGCTAATAACATAATCTACAGATCTCTTGTTATGATCACGCCTCACTGACAGAGAACTTAAAGTGAGTTAATTCTGCATTAAGAACAGGCAACTCATCTTGTCTTGGTGGAAATCAGGTCATGATTTTCATAGCGGAGCTCTGGCGGCCTGGAGGGCCGCCAAGCAGAGCCCCATACTCATATACGAAAGAAAAGGAAACCCATGAATTGATTTTCTCATGGTTATCATGGCTAGCGGTATTGCTTGTGGGCGTGACAACGATGGAGTCGCACAACATGGCGGCCATACTCCAAATAATAGGTTGACATAGACATGCAGCCTTGGTTTACCGTGTACTTCTGTGATATTGGACATCCATGTTATGATCAATTGACGCCTGTCAAAACAAGGTATCTGCTGACCAATATCACGTGACCATATTGTGGGCTCAAGTTTACAGCTCATCAAGGTCACATGTTTTTGAAGTTGACCACTGACCAAGTGCTGTTTTTCGATTGGATCGTGGGCTCATGTCAGGTTCACTTGTTGAATACAGGGCAGGATTGTTCGGGAGCTGGTTAAGGTGGCCGAACACAATTTCCACGCGCGCTCTTGCTAATGCCATTCAGTGCGTGCACAAGGATTGCACAAAGCGTCGATACAGCGATCATTTTATTTGGTCAATGCCCTCTCCATCTGTACTTTTTTTCTTCTTCATAATTGGACACGGTGTATTTATGGCTTTACTCTTTTTATCAAAAATGTATGTTAGAAAAGGTAACGATACAAAGAACCCAGCAATTCTCAGATTTTTCTTTTTTACCAAAAGAACCCAGTTAAATGCAGCGCGTGCGTAGTAAGGCAGAAAATTTCGATTGAATGCGGTAAAGCTTTCTTGGAAATACGCATATTTCTCGAGAACCACTCGTTGGAATTTCATGAAATTTGGCATGAAAATATTTTACCAAACAAGTAACTGGAATATGGAAAAAAATTGAAAATTGACAGAGGCGATTCAAGATATTCCACGTAAACTTCTTCAAGTGGTAATTAAAGATCCCTCTGTTAAACTATTATTGAAATAGTGCTAACTTGTGAGCATTGTTACGATCTTGTTGCATGCAAATGAAAAAGAAAATCTAACGACTAGATTTTCTGCAAACAAACAAAACCGATTTTAAACGCCTGTTTATATTTATTCATGTTGCCATGGCAACGGCACATACATCAGCCTAGCTATCAAAAATTGAACATTTGTGTTGTAACCTGTGTGTTGTCATTTTTGGTGACCAAAGGATGAAGGGTTTTAGAAAAAAAGGAGATTGAAACACAGATATCAAAACTGTGTTCGGCCACCTTAACGCTAAGCCGGATTAAAAGTTAACCCAATTATAACTTTTTCTTCTATACAAATGTTTTTTGCTGCTTTGTTTTGTGTATATGATGATTATTAAAACTCAAAACAGAAGGCCAAACAATATACAGAAAACCTCACTGCAAAGTTACAAAACTCAAATCAAAATTCTACCTTTTCCTGGGTTAGCTTAATTGGGCTCTGAACAACCCGACCCAGGAGCTTATGCTTCTAGGCTGGCTGAAATCTATATATTAGATCTCTACTGACTGTACCAGTATTCCAAGGTCTGAAAAATAATAATAAAGTCGCCTTGCCTCTCCAGACTATTATCATAATTATTAGATACTTTTTTTGTCTCAAGTTGATTTTTCACTGAGTTGCATTACCTTAAATACGTTTATTTATGTACATGCTTAAATTTAAATAGAGAAAATGTATCATTGAAGGTTCGCCTCTGTAAAAACTGTTAGATTTGTTTAGACTACTTTATCTTTTTGAATATATTTTTGTGTGTAGCAATAATTTGCTTAACAGATCAGCCTTCAATTGCATTGCTTTTTTGACTATTTTACAGTCTCCTGGATGCTGTCAAGACTCTGGTAGAATATAAAATACATCGGCTTCCAGTGGTTGATCCATCCACTGGAAATGCTCTTTATATCCTCACTCACAAAAGAATTCTGCGCTTCATGTTTTCATCCGTAAGTTCTAAAAATCAGTTACTGTCCAGCCATCTATTGTTATAGAGTTTCAACAACGGCAATGGCGACGTTAGAAACAGCATCTGCATATACACATGTATATTAATTTATAAATGGCAATTAACTAATTTATAATATTTTTTTAAGAATCGCTCTCCATTCTTAGAAAAAAAATGACCATTCATAGTGTTACTAGATGATTTATTGCATGTAATAGACAGTGATTTGTTTTTGTTCACAGTTAACACAAACCAGCCCACCTGAATTCATGAGTAGCACCCTCCAAGAACTAGGAATTGGAACATATCAAAATGTTGCAATGGTAAGTGAATTTTGGAGTTGTGTTTCAGTAATTATTGATTGTACACATTCCTTTTTTACCTTTGGGGCTTGAATGAGAAGCAAAACAAACAGGCACCAGGAGAAACCAAAGCACGGATACTGTGAGCAAGTCACCTACTTTCTGTTGTACCTCGCTCCTAACTTTTGCAC